TAGCAGTTCTGTAATTGACGATGGGTTAATAAATAAGGTAATTTGCTTTAAACATTTGCCAAATCTTCCTTTTTACTTTAAATATATCACGATTATACACGATTATACACATCCTCTGTTTTTTCACATAGAGTATCTCTTGCTTACGAATTCTAGTTTTCTGTGGTCATAGAAATACAGAATTGATTGGTTTCTAAAGGATCTTGTGCCTTTTTAAGACCCGCTTTAAAATTTTTAATTGCATAGCTCTTCTGCAAGCTGCAGCCTATTACTGGGATGGCTTAAATTCAAATTTAGCTATATTTATATGTCTTTATCTTTTAGACTTCCAAAGAACTTTCTTGTTTAGAAACAGTATTATCTGAAATCATGATGTATGCATTAGCAATAAAGCACTAGTATCAAACTCTAAGATAACATAAAGAAAAGGGTAATTCGTACAAAACATCCCTAACTTTTGTCTCTATTGTGGAATGCCCCTATCCTTTCATTCTGGCGGAAACATTTTCTTTACGGAATACAACATTATCTTCAATTTTCTCAATAAAGCATTATAAAATGACGAGTATATCCTCATCTTTAAATAAAACAAAAACAAAACGAAAAGAAAAAATATAGAAGTAATTGCAATTGTAGTCTCATTTTTTTTAAAAAAAATGCAAACGAGTCTCAAATAAATAATCAAAGAATTAATAGACGTATAAGTTAGTTTTTATTTTTTTTAAAAAACAAATCTCACTATTCCCTTACTTGTTAGGGATTAAAATCAGATTTTTAGTAGATTTTGATAGAAATTGATGAAATATGTAGTTGAAAAGTTGTAGATCCCGATAATATGTGGTTAAAATTAATTATTGACGTTAACTTAGATTAAAATTTAAATTTTAATTCCCACCAAATAGGGGCCATATTTTATTTCTTTTATTTATAATATTATTGATAATCGTCGATAACATAATTTATGATATTATCGTTGTCCATTTGATTTACATATATATAATGTATATTAATTACAATAAATTCATTGAAAATGAAATAAAAATTTAAACATTAACTTATATGTCGATAATATTATAAATGAAAGAAATAAAAGTGAAAACTAACTACGTCCATTTAATTTTTTAATTATTTATTTGGAATTCGTTTGCATTTTTTTGAAAAATCTGGGACTACAATTAATTCTTTATTTTCTCCTTTTTTGTTTAAAGTTGAGGGTATTTTCGTCATTTCACAAGGCTTTATTGAGAAAATGAAAGAAATGGTTGTATTCTACTAAGAAAAGGTCTGTTTGGGTGGGGGTGGGGGGGTGGGGGTTCCACCAAAATGAAACGATAGGGGCGTATTACACAATAGAGCCAAATGTTAGGGATGTTTTGTCCCAATTACCCTAAATAAAATTAGGTTCTAAGGAAAAGTTTTGACATTATGATTGAAATTGCTACTATTCTAGTCACTTGTCTATTTGCTTTATGTCCTGTTGGAGTCAATTGAAAATGTGAATTGTAGTGGATCATTGAAATTTTGATGAATGTTACACACACATTGATCCTTGCACTGAAATTGGAATATAGCTTCTTATAACGAATTTCACCTTCCACTATAGCATTATTATCGCAGCTTGAGAATGATTAGGCCCTTGTTTGATTTTTATTTTTTCACATTCACATTCACTTTTTCTCACTCATTTTCTACTACAAATTCTCTAACAAAAAAATTGAAAAATTTGCACGTGAACCCATGACTTTTCTCTATTTTTTAACCACACATTTTTTCAAAAAAAATCATTTTTCACAAAATCACTTCTCAAAAAACCAAAATCAAACAGAGGCAAGATAAATCACCTACACTGTGCTATTTATTATTTTAGAATTTGATTTTGATGCATTTGGAACCATGCTATGCAGGAAGAATTCCAATTGGCTCTGTTCAAGAACAGGAAGAAAGAGAATCTTTTTGCCAATCGGGTATGAGTTTGATATTTCCTGGTCAAGGTGTCAAATCATGCATGATGTTCCGAAATATTGAGATTACTATTTTTCTTAATTCTGTTTCGAGTATTAGTTTGTTGATTGTTTTGATTATGAACCCAAACCATTGTTGCACAGTTTAAGCTGGATAGTATGTTGAAGAGTTCTTAAGAATCATAATTAGGAAATTCCTCAAACTATTGTTTCTTATTATATACTTGACTGACTATGTAGTTATGCGAATGAGGGGATATTTGAAATGTGAAATGGGCTGCTACATTGGATGCTATGTGCACAATCATAATTATTATTTTCAATGCTTGTTGCGTTGCTGGAATATCCTAGATTAGTTTAATTTCCTAAATTTAACATAACCACCTCTCTTTCCCCTGGGAAAGGGATTGAGTTTTCAAAGAATTCCATTTCTCCTAAACCCAGAAAGGCCATTCTGTGCGTGAACCTCAAGTCCTAAACTTTTCCATTCTACTAAGACATCCAAGCATAGATCAGTGAAGGAGATCATTCTTCCTCTCATGACATCTCCGTGTACTTTTTGTACATTCGAAGTTAGATATCATGAACCCTTATGTCATTTTGTATTTCCTATCGATGGACATAATTGGAACTGAAAACTCAACACGGCCATTCAATTTTGTCGGTATTCATAAATTGATAAGTTTAGTTTGTTCAATTTTTAGGTCATATGGGAGAAGGTCTCCTTCTATGACAGTTGTTTTGCTTGGATTAATCAAGTAATTTTGGAAGTTAGATATGGCAATCTTTCTTGATCCTGATTATATTTTCGAAGACTTTTGACCCAGAATTTGGCAATTGGTAAAATATGATCCTACTTTTTCTTTTCCCATGTTGATAAAAGTAAATGCTGAGTGGGATGATTAATGAGTATTACTGATGTAGTTTCATAAGCTTCAGAAACATTAGGCTATATTGATCTAAGTTTAAGCATTTGGTTAATGTTATTCTGTAATTGCTGGATGTTACAACCTTTTTGCTATTTGATTCATTTTCATACCTGTACAAATCAGCCCTTTGCTGAATTTGGCCGAACTTCGTCAGATTAAGACCAGGCCTTTTAAGAGTTCCGTGTTAGAAAATTTTTACGTATGGAATCGAGGATAAGCACACTTCTATTCATTCACAAATGGATGGATGCAAATGTTGAGCAAGGAAACATAGCTGCACTGATAGTTGTAGCAAAGTTAAGACATGTTCATGTTAAAGTCTATGGAGAAAATCGTCTTCTTATTTTCCTTATTTTTTTTTTCCTGTTTCAAGCTTTAGATTTTCTTGTTTTATATTTTAAATTCTTTTCTGCTTGTAGATTTTTGATCTCTTTGATGTGAAACGAAAAGGAGTCATTGATTTTGGTGACTTTGTTAGATCACTGAATGTTTTCCACCCAAATGCACTACAAGAAGATAAAATCAACTGTGAGTTATGGAGATATGTTCCGATATTGTTTCTTGACACTTGTATTTTGGTTTATTCTTCCAAAATTAAGGTGCTGAAAGTAATATTAACTTCTTCTTTTTTTCTTTTTGCGATACTGCAGTTTCATTTAAGTTATATGATATGGATGGCACAGGATACATTGAACGGCAAGAGGTAGTTTATTCTTACCTTTTGAGGTTTCTTCTCAGATGATGTGAATATATTTTTAAGGATATTTCCTATGCCTATATCTAGGATAATATATGACTGCTCCAAAATTGAATTGTGGTTGTGTGAATTGGAACGTGAATAATAAT